TTGGATCATTTCAGACATTAATTAACACAAAATGGAGATTTTCCAAAATCTAATTGACCTAAAATGTTGCAGGTTGATGGACCTCCTCAAGTCTGAGCAAAAATGGGTCTGGGCTCATTTCTTTAAGCCGTCGGTTAGAAGAAAGTGTTCGTATTTTGTGTTTTCATCGTCTACAAAAAGCCATATTTTGTGTTTTGTTGAGATGTTTAAATGAGTTTAAGTCTAGAGTTTATTCCCGTCTGGAGTTTATTCCAGATTGGAGTTTATTCCAGTCTGGAGTTTATTCCCGTCTGGAGTTTATTCCTGTCTGGAGTTTATTCCAGATTGGAGTTTATTCCTGTCTGGAGTTTATTCCAGATTGGAGTTTATTCCAGTCTGGAGTTTTTTCGAGACGAGAGTTTATTCAAACTCTGAGTGGTTCTGGGGCTTTTTGAGCCTATATTAAACAGTTGATCATCAAACTTAATCTAACAATAGAGGACACATCACTCCAGTTTGATTTCAAACCAGGTTTAAAGTGTTTTGTGTGTTTGGAGTATTTAGTTGGACGTAGTGATGAAGCTCTTTCAGGAAGGTTTTGTCTTCACTCCCTGACTTTGAATCTGTTTTAAAAGCCCATTTTGGCTCCACGCCCTTCTGCTTCCCTGTTGTTTAAAGGCTACGGACTCCTTTATTTCTTAATATTGCCGTTGCTCTTAAACTCTCAGCTCTGTCCTGGTGGATTTCAGCTCAAATCAAAACCCCGTCTGTGTGATGGAAAAGCAAAATATTCCGGATTAAGACCAACGGGTGCCTTAAAAAAAGCCCACAGAAGCCAATCAGGGCACTTTAACTGGACTTCTGTGATCTCTTTTTCTGGTCCTGGTCAGAACCTTAGAGCCAGTAGAGAAATATTTATCTTTGGACGACCAAAAATCATCTTTGGATGTTATGAAAGTGTATAAAAAGATGATGTTTTTAGAGGTGTGGGACACCTGGAAGAAATTCCTGCTGGATTCAGATATCAAAACAGAAGCTACTTCCCACCCGGAAGAGAAAATAACTCCAGTTTATCTTATAAACAGCAGAGTTTGTGTTTGTGGAAGGTGGGACTCCAAAAGATGAGCCACAACAAAGAGGAATGACACCTGCAAACTGGTTGTTTCATGAGAGACCACTGCCCCCTAGTGGGAGAAACAAACACACCTGGAGGAATAAATAAAAATACCATCAACAGGGTTTTAAAAGGACTGGAAGCTCAGACTTTTTTTTTTTTAAAGCAGACATTTTGAATCAGAATGAACCAGAACCGAATCAGGAAACATCTTATGTGTAAGGATCCTTTTTAAAGGGAATATGACTGATTTAAAACACATTTTGTAAAACCTGAAGTCGCTTTCCGCCATATTTCTATATATTTTTCTCTGTTGTTGTGCACGTTATGTGTTGATTTTAACATTTGTGCATACAGCAGATGCTTTTTCCAGGGAAAAAAAGGGGAGTTAACAGTGGAGTTTAACCCTTTGACACCACTTTGCTTTAATCTGTTCAGACTTTTAGCCCAAACACAGTTCAATACAATGAATGAGTTTATTTCCTTAATGGAACATCCTGTTAAATAAGTCAGACACAGACTTCTGCTGAGGGCTTAAAGGGAAAGGAGGAAGATTAACATTAACATTCAGAGTAAATGTGAGTTCACATCATATTTTAAGGACTAAGGACTTTGGGGTCAAACTCTGAGGCGTTTCTGATTAAATTCTTAATTAAAATTGGATGTTTGTGGGTGTAGGATGGTATTTTCCGTTTTACCTTTTTTCGTTCTTGCATTTTGAAATGACAGGAGACTTGTTTTAACGGTAAAGCAACCGTAGAGCTCCACCGTTGCCACTTTCTTTTACACATGTTTCCATGACAACATGAACTTCCTGCCAACACTACG